TGGCGAGCGAAGCAACCTTGAGGTAGTCGACCAAGTGCTCGTTGTCCTGCAGAAGCTCCTCCCATGTCTCTGTCTTCTCGTCAACATCAGGGTCGATGTGGCGTGGCTGTTTAGGGTTGAAAGTCAGAGCGCCAACGGTGGGGTTGTGTGGCTCGTCGGACTGGCCAACGGAGTATGTACCCTTCGCAGGGATCCATGCCTTCTTTGCAACCATCTTTCCTTGTGTGAGAGTACCAGTCTTGTCGGAGCAGATATCAGTGACACCACCAAGAGCCTCAAGCGACTTCAGGTTGCGAACAATGACGTGACGTTGCACCATGCGCTTTGTGCCGGCGGCCATTGTGATGGTCAAGACGACGGTAAGGGAGGCGGGAATCATACTGAGACCAGTGGCCACGGCATAGATGATGACCTCGCTGTTGTTGGAGAAGCTGTTGGCGGCCAAAACGATGATTGCGCAGACGACGGCGACACCGAAAAGGAGGATGGCGAGACGAGCGAGCTTCTTCTGAAGGGGAGTACCGACGTTGACACCAAGGAAGTGGCCGACGGCATCGGCGGCAGTCAAAGACCATGCCTGAGCGTAGCGATGGGGCTTGGCTTTGCCATCAGGCTTGCGCTTGACCTCGCGAACGCGTGAACCCTTCTGTCGAAGAGACATGGCGATGGAACCGATCTCAGTGTACATTCCAGTAGCAAAGACGACACCACGAGCGCGTCCCTTGGTAACGGTCGAAGAGCTGTAGGCGACATTGAGGCGGTCACCAGGGCCGGTGTCCTCATCGAAAACGGCATCGCCGTCTTTGTTGACAGGGAGGGATTCGCCAGTAAGTAGAGCCTCGTCGGTTTCAAAGTTTAGGGCTTCGATGATACTGGATGCGAGTCAGTGACGTACAAACTAATTTAGCGCAATTCAACGTACCGGATGTCAGCCGGGACAGTGTCACCTGTCTTTAGCTCAATCAAATCACCGGGAACAACCTCAATGGTTGGCACAGTAACAGTCTTTCCGTCTCGCGCAGCGGTAGCTGTTGGCGAAGAGAGTGATCGAAGCGAGTCCATTGTCTTTTCAGCATTGAACTCTTGGACGAAACCGATGATAACGTTGAGCAGAATGATGGCGGTTACTACACCACCCTCAATCCACGATTGGATAGCAAAAGACACAGCCATTGCAGCGATCAAGATCTGAAGTTTGTTAGGGATTGTTGCATTGTGTGTTCGTTAACTGTAACATACCAATGTCATTGCGTTGGCGACCTGCCTCAGTAGAATCTTGCCTGGTGATACACCTCCATCGTCGCCCAGATCGTTGTTGCCGTACTTCTCATGTCTCGACTTTGCTTCCGCAGTAGTCAGACCGTCTTCGTCGTTACACTTGATCTCGGCGACGACGTCCTTCCATGGGAGAGCATGCGCGGGTTTGGATAGAGGCTCGTTAGCCTGGCCGGACTTGTGGCCCTCGAGAGACGGTGCCTTCTTGCCCATAGTGAGTGATTGAGGTGCTAAGAAGATGGGATGCAGACAAACGATCTAGATCCGGGGACATGGCAGACTTTAAACAAGCAAGTTGGCACGCAGGTGCACACACCATGAGAGCAGCCAAGAACCGTGCGATATCGAGAGCTTGGCGTGATGGTGACTATCTTGGGACCGGTGCAGGGAACGTCATCGTCGGTAACGGTCGGCACTCGTCAACAAAGAGATGCATGCATGTCCGCAAACGTTTGGATGTCAGCCCTCTGGATATAATGGATGGCACATCTGACCCTGCCTGCCTTTTACCACACTGCACAACATCATCATCGGGTAGCGTTGAGAAGATTGAGCGGCAGATGCCATGCCATAGTGCTGTGAATAGTGCCGGACATGACGACAGCGGGGTTGGTAACACCCGTTCACCAAGCTTGCGAGCGGGGATGAATGAAAAGAGGTGGCGAGCTGTTCGGTCCCAGCCAAGCATCCCGCTCGCCTACGATCCGCCTAGCCGTGCTAATTTCTCGGCGCAGGCGTAATTGTGCCGACTTCCGTACCGAAGCCACAACACCAACGTCATTTTGCGCCAGATTCCAAGCACGCTGCCATCGACTACAGATGCTCAAGCCACTTACCTTCACGGACACCCTTCCGCCAAGCCTCGATTCCCTCGTATCGCCCCAGGCGCCCAACACCTTTCCGAGCGTCCTCCGTGGAACCTGCTGAGGTCGTCACGCCGCATGCTAACGGCGAAGCTTAACACCAACATGACAAGGCGTATTTCGTCTGGATATCCCCACTGAGACGGGCCCAAGCCAGCCTCTTGTCGCTCTTATCTGTCACCGGTGGCTTGACTGCAGCGCCGAGCTTTCCGTCGCGGGTCACGAGACTCAACAATCATTCCTGCAACCGCGCGCACCAAGCACCAAGGTCCGCTTACTCCACACCTTCCATCTTGATTACGGAAGGTTCTAGTCGCAAGCTAGATCGGTCGAAATGCTTGCGTCTGTAACATGCTCAGCTGCTTTGCCGTGGTTTCACAAGGCAGAATCCGGTACACTGCGAGCACAATAACTTCAATTGCCGTCATGGAGATATCATATATCAAGAAAAATTTGCATCCATTTGACAGCCGTAATGGCCTCAACTCAACTACATGCGCATAAAAGTGGGCTTACCCCACTTCTACCACGATTCAGACAAGCACGCAAGAGATGGGTCTCTTGGAATATCCCACGCCTTGGCATGCCTCACGCCATTTCCCTGCCGCGGTCTAGTCTAAGCATCCCAGTCCTCCGAGCACCCATCGGAGAACCAAATCTTGTCGCTTGTATGTCTGTCTAGCATTTCAACGGCGGTGCGCTCTTTCACAGCGCGACCCAGGCTTGTTACTACCTCATCTCCTTCAGCTGCCAGCGAGAAGCCGCCAGTGAGATGCTCAGCTACATTCTCGGTGGTGTACCTGGGTTGGTATACATTGCCAAAACGGGTCCGGTATTGAGAGAGTCTGGCGAATCGAACACTTGTGAGGCAAGGAGACATCGTCAACTGCTTGAAGATCGTAAACCAGGTTGCATCTTTTAGCTCGACGAGTCCCGGTTTCAGCTTTTGTCCATTGACCTCTTGAACCACTCCATCCTCGTCGGAATCAGAATCTTCGACATCCTCGAAGTCGGAGGGCTCAAACGCATCTTCGTCGTCATACCAACCATACAGATTCGCGCCACAAAGGTGAAGGCTCTGCAGGGTTTTTCGGTGCTTGAACAGGAACCTCTTGAAAAGAGGTGATGCTATCGGACTACTACGGATGTCGAGGTGCGCGAGAGTAGGGAACTGGGTGTATCGAAGGAAGGTGGGCACATTCTCGTTACGCAACGTAAGCGACCTGAGATTACCGCTGACGGACTGCAGCAACGCTATGGTCCACCACTTCTCAAAGATTTCGAATGTCCGGATGAACTTCAAGTGTGTAACACGGTGCTGAACACGCGTCCAATCGGAGCTCGAGATATCGAACGGTTGTTTCTCGTAACGCAATACCATCGTATGCAGTGCGACTTCCAGAGTCCAGTCTTTGCGATCTTCGATACCTCGCAGCGCCGAGAGTACTTTGGCGATGTGGCCATGTAGCTTACCGTCGCAGGCTTTTCCTTCATTACGAAGTGCCCATACAGGGTTAGCCCAATGTCCGTAGGCTCCCCAGCCCATTTCGCGAAGGACGCGCTTCGAGCCCCAAGCCTCAGTCCAGGCAGCAGCATCATCACTTTTCTTCGGGTAAGAACTTACCGGGTAAGAGTCAATGCGTACATGCTTCAAGTTCGGGAAACCTCGCAGTGCCGACTTCAACATTTCCACTGCTTCATCGCTGGCATCAAACTCTTCCTGCTCTTTAACAAGCTTTTCGTGCTTTGGCCCATACGTTCTGGGCCAGTCTTCCGCCCGCTCTTCAGAATTGCAATTAAGTAGCTTCCAAATAGCCATGTATCCGTTCACGTGCTCAGGTCCGATAGCCACATCCTCGACGTAATTTCTGAAAACAGGATCGGTGGAGATGCTCAGAAGGCATTGGAGACTGGCGCGGGATAGCATATGTTTGCGGGTAGCAAAACAGCGTTTCGTCCAGTTGTCGTATGTCGTTTCTTTTATGCGCCGGCTTGCAGAGCGGAGGTTGCAGAGGTCGTCGCCAGAAAGAATAGGTTTGCCCCTGGCATCTGTGCTTTGCGTTACTAATTTCATGAGCTCGACGGGTAGCGCTTCTAGGCCTGGGTTTGAAGACGTTGTAGCTGCTGTGGATATATTGAGGGTCTTGAGCTCCTCGGAAAGGGCCTCTGGATCTTGCTGTGGAGACGCCATTGCTGTAGGTATACCGGGCTCCGTTGGTAAGTGTGGAGGGGTTGTGTCGATGTTGTGGTTGATCAACACTTTCTGTGGGCTGAAGGAAAAATCGGAAGAGCTTCGAGGCTTAGACTTTGAAGGCTTGGAGGAAGGTACGAGCGGTGAGAGAACGCAGGTGAAACATCGCATTAGCGCCTGAAGCAATGTGAATGCAGCGATTTAACAGTTACTTCTCCTCGCAATGTGCTTGAGAGGCGGACTTGGCGAAACTGGCTGTGAAGCAATAAATCACGAAACACCACATGTGTTTTTTCACATTGTCAAGTCTGGGATAGTGAAGTGCCGTAGTAATGCTTTTGAGATGTCTCAATACACCCCCTCGATATAGTAGCCTGTGATCAGATGCAAGAGCATCTGCAAACAGCCTTGTTACGCTTTCAATAGCCGCCACCGCTACTTGAGTGAAATTCCAGGATCAATCAAATAGCCAACGCCTCTTCTACCATTCGTGGAGCACGGTAGTGCTTGCTTCCCACAGGATATCTAGTTCGGCGGCGGTGTATTGAGCATCAGTATTGACTTCGACTGCACTTCCACTGTCTGCTTGCCCTTTGAGAACGACTGGCGGTGGGTCTAGCTCCGAGTCGTCACCAGGAGTGGGGTTAAACACCGTACCTAGACACGTATCATTAGCCAGATCCACACCATGATCGTCGTATCCAAAGCTCACCACGATACGAAGGACCGAAAGTATTATCCATCCACGCAACTGCATCCCAAGTCCGGAGATCATAGTCTTCCCATGCCGGCCTCCAGCAACACCGTGGAACATCAATACTCCACTCGATACCCATCGAGGAAAGGATGCCCAGCGCGGGGTGCGGATACGAAGTAAACGCAAAGTCAACATATGAGCCTCCAACCCAGCTTGAACACGCGATACCAACACGCTCCAGCACAGGAAGCTGTTTGCGATAGTAAGACAAGGTAGTGAGCCAGTCAAGGAATGCAAGCTCTGGAAAATGCACCTTCAAGGTCTGAAGAGTTGGGGGCAGCATCTCGTCCGCCGGTTGCTGGATATGCGCCCATTGCGGCTCGCCTCGTCCGAAGAGGCATTGATAAGGTACCAAAAGATGCTTGAGTGCCTTGAAGTTAAGGAAGCCATCTCCGGGTAGTACGTGATCCAGAAAGTAGGTGTCCTCCTCACTGCAGTGATTGAATGCGTCCAGTTCCAGTCTGGTCAACACACCTGCCACTGGCTGGAGCTTCTGCAGCAAGACAGTGTAGCTACCCTGGGTGCTGATGTTCAGAAGGAAATTCATGCGGGGACCTGCTGATCCACAGTCGGCGTCGTTGAAGGGCATACGTAGGGTTCGCAAGCGAGGAAAGTGTGCGAGAAAGGGCGACAGGGCATCATAGTGTATGCAAGCGGGATTTAGAACAGCCGAGTGAACTGGTAATTCGAGAGTTTTAAGCGCAGTGTTGACCTCAGACGCAGCTCCATCGGCCAAAATGTGGCTCGCACGAGTGAGATGAATCTGCTCCAGGTATAAGGACCTGGCGAATATCCAGTGGAACTCAGTGCCTTGAAATTTGAGGCCTCGTAGCTTTTGAAGACCAGGTAGTGGCGCGAGATCCGCTGTGAGATTATCGAACCCAGGGAATAGTTTGTCGAGGCACTCGGAAACGAGCATGAACCTTCCATCATCGTATTTGAGATTGTGGTCGTGTAAAATAGATACATCGAGGTATTTGAGCTCAGTCGTATGGTGGACAAGAAGAGCACTCGCAATATGTAGCTCATCTAGCTCTGCTCGTATGGTAGGAGGGAACAGTGCGCCCTGCGGGATGACACCAGACGAAGGGACGTCAACACGAAGCGTGCGATCAACAACTTCAATGTTAAGGCTTTCAACCATTCCCGCTAGATCAGGCCGTGACTGAACTGTCCGGTAGAATGGCCATAGATCGCGTGGCTCCGGCTTTATTTCACTTTCCCATCCTAAGGTTACTTCGCGATAAAGCTGTCGTTCGACAAGGGTGCGTAGCTCGGAGCTTATGCATGCGATACTTGGCAGGTTGCAGTGCGAGCTATGGTGGACAATGGACTGGAGGAGTTCTGTCGGTAGTTTTCCGAGACGACTGTGTGCATATGGAAGAGCACTACCGGTAGAATCGTCATCGCTGGTCGTCGCGGTCTTCTCCATTGTAGTAAGACGCGCTCTAGTTCCGATTCCTGATGGGAGCAATGTTAGTGGTAGCGGGTATTACAAGACAGCGTACATGTATAGTGAGAGGTAGAAAGTAAGGTGACAACGACACTATCCCTTTTTGGACTAAGCGCCGTGCAGGTAAGAGAAAAGGCTGCTTCACCTTCGCTTGCTTGATGTAGGCAACAGTACACTCATCCCGCTCAAGATGCTGAACGATGTAGAGATGAGCATTTGTGCATTGGCGAATCGAAGGCCGCCTATTCATGAACATCCTGGAATCGTCCCGGTACCGCGACAGTATGACCTATTCAGGCAATGCCCTATCTTGTATGGCCTGATACAAACGCTGCTCCACAGCAGCGCTATTAAAGAAAATTGCCGCGTCTTCGCGTGACCACGATACGTTCACAGACGCCGGAATCTGTTTAATAAACCATCTGGCAAAGCGCTCCAATTTCTCGTATTGAATCCACAGTACTTCCAAAGCTTTAGGATCCGTAGACCCCGCTGCAGTTAAGCGGTAGAATTCACTCTCCGTGAAGGTGATACTGATACGCTCAAGCTTGAGCATGTAGTATATGCGGCCCATGGGGTTCATCCATGATTCTGAGGGGTAACACCCGCCGGATGGATCTTTACGGAACTGAAATTCCAGCTCTTTCAGAAGCTGCAGGATAGTCGGGTTTATTGTAGTTGACATGTGTAAACACTTGAGGCCGTGACCATATTTTATTGCGCTTTCTTTGTCCATAAGGCCGGGTTGCACTTGAATGAACATTCTTCGGCTCCCGTAGAAGAGCTTCCTCACTTCATTGTGTATCTGCCTGTTGGTTCGCATGATGTTGAGGCGTGGACGCGTGACGTGTTGACGTGAAGGGTCAATGACGATGCGAGGCCCCGGGGGAAGAAGGAACGAGTACGTGTGGAGGCGGAGCTCAGCGGGAAGTCGGAGGAAGGGAAAGGGTTTGGCTAGTCCATGTCAGCAGAGTCAGAGTATGTGGTCCCTTCTGTACATACCTCTTTCCTCAAGTATGGCAAAGGCGCTTTCGAGGTTGGTTTCGCAGGCAATGTCAATATCTCGTAGTAGAGGGCGTATCTCTGAAAATGTGGGTGTTGGCCCCGCCCACCCGGATAGCTTGTACTTATTAGCATAGGGCCTGCCTTGCAGGACGTTCTTGTATGCTTCGGCATAAGCATCGGCAGTGGCGCGCGGCCCCGTGAGGCCTTTTACTACGAGGTAGAATCTCTCCGAGCCAGCGACGTAGACGGATCCTCCAGATGGGTTTGTTTTACAGGCATCGTCAATATTGGTAATATCATCTTCGCTATGACTATCTGGCCGTATGCTCGATATGGCGCGATTAAGAGCTTGTAGCTTTAGCTTCAGATGACCAGCATCTGCAAGAGAAAAGCGCTCTGTGTCCGTAGAGGGGCTAGGCTGAGCCGGCGGCAAGATATTGTGTTGGGTGTTCAGATCGTGTATGGTGCGAATGACCAAAGGCATGGTGTTGAGGGATGGCGGGATGGCGATGTCGTCGACGCGCGACGCGAGTGGAAGAGCAGTCGGCTGCCCCGCGCGTTGGCCAGTGATGTAACTAGCCGCTCCGGCCATGCTGCGGCCCTGAAATCAGAAGCACATGCAAGACACCAGCGAGCCCATGCAATCCCATGTTTCTGACACCTGCCACCGCCCCATGACTGTATAACATGCCTCTGCCCGCCATTACCCTCTGAGTCTCTCTCCAACGCCAACACGTTTCCTCGACGCGTCCATCTTCGCGTGCTGTGCCGATCGCCCCGCCCAAGGCCGCTGGCTCCACCCTTCCAAGCTTCACGATACAACACAAAGTCCTGGCTGAGCAAGCTGCGCGTTGGCGGCGACGCCCCTCCAGTCGACAGAATGGCTGCCCCGGATAACAAGCAGGGCTTCCTCTCCAACCTCTCCCCCTGGCCTTCACGCGCCGGCACGCCCAAGCCCCCAGCGACATCCAAGGCCGAGGGCAGTGCGGACAAGGCGAAGAAGGCTGAGCAGGAGAAAGAGAAGGAGAGAGCGGCGGCAGTACTTGCTCCCCAGCAGGGAGGAGACCATGTGATTGACCGGAGGTACAGGCTGAGTCTCAAGCGGTACCCCAAGGACTGTCCTCCGCTGGCTGTGAGGTGGTTTCATGCTATAGATGTAAGTAGTCAATATACACCTTTGGGCTTTCGTCATCTCCACAGCGCTCCTGCATTTCGTTGCGACACTGACTCTGGCAGACGCCCAAGCGCAAACCCCTCTCGAAGCATGCCATGGCCCCAGACACGGCCCTGCCCAAACCCAAGAAATGGATACCCTTCGGGGCCAGCGACTCTCGCGCCATCGAGGCCGCCTTCCAGAAGACTGCCGACGAAGCTGATGCCGACGAACTGCGAAAGGGCATCATCAGCCCCACGACGCCCACCCAAGCGAGCGCGACTCCTCCCAAAACCACAAAGGTGCCTGTCAACGAAGACTACCTGTTCGATGTCGAGATCGAGACACGCGAGCTGGCGCCATCATACTGGCTGGGTCCTGTGTACGATGTGAAGCGAGGAACCTGGTTCACACCGGATGGGGAGGCTGTCGATGAAGGTCTAGCCATGCAGCTCGAGGAAGGCTACCTGAAAGTCAAGCCATGGAAGTTCGGGAAGCCAGAAGAGAAGCGAGCAGTTTCGCAACCCCGTGCTCGGCCGCTCTCCATGGGCCCAAGTGCTGGCGAGGACCACCGCAAGGAGCTGGCCAAGCTGAATCGCGATTCGACATCCAACCCAGTCACGCCCAAGTCGTCGTATGATAATCTACAGAATGAGGCTTCAAAACAGTCGAACGATTCCAACCCCAGCGATGCATCTACAACCTCCAATGCGCCCGCCGACTTACCGCGCACACACCGACTGTTCGGCGCACATCTGAACTCCACCGTCACCTATCAAGACGAGACCACAGCCTGGATGTTGACCGATGACATGTGGTCGCGCATGGGCAGTACCCTGTATCAGCGCTTTGCTGGAGGAGCGCATTATGCTGGGTACAAGTACATCCGAGGGTACACCGATCCCAAAGAAAAGAAGAAACAACCGACCCCAGGGAAGGGCCCTCAAAGCGCAAAACAGGAGGACCGACCGGCTACACCCGCCCTGGCGTATGGTTCAGACCACGGGAAGCAGTCTGACTCTGACGCCGACGGAGAAGCATCAGAAAACGAGCGAAGCATGTCGCCTTCCCAAACGCGCAGGCGCAATCTCGAACGACAGGTCTCGTCACTGATGACATCCTCGAAACCAGAATATGAGCAACAACAGGAAGAGGAGATGCGAAAGCGTGAGGAGAAAGAGATGCGTGAAGACTACAAAACCCAGCACGGCAGTGATCAAGACCGTGACATCGAGCATCTGCTCTTAGTAACACATGGCATTGGACAACGGCTCGGAATGCGAATGGAGTCCATTAACTTCATTCACGACGTCAATACGTTGCGCAAATCCCTCAAGTCTGTCTACTCAGCTTCGCCAGATCTGCAAGCTCTGAATGCGGAAACGGACTCAGAGACCAAGAACAACCGCATACAAGTCATCCCCATCATTTGGCGGCACTTATTGGACTTCCCTAAGCAAAGCTTGAAGCACAACCGCAAAGAACACGACCTAGGCGATCTCGATCACGAAGATGAAGAGTATCCTAACCTCGAGGACATAACTGTTGAAGGTGAGTTAAGCGATGCGATCCTGCGCCAGAACAAATACTAACAATACAGGCGTTCCCGCTGTTCGCAATTTCCTCACTGATCTCGCGCTTGACATCTTGCTGTATCAAAGCCCCGCTTACAAAGGCCATATTTCTCGCATCGTCGTCAATGAGTTAAACCGCACCTACCGCCTATTCAAGGAGCGCAACCCATCCTTCAAAGGCAAAGTGAGCTTAGTTGGGCACTCGCTCGGGTCTGCCATCATGTTCGATATTTTATGCATCCAAAAAGACCCAAAAGCCAAACCAAGCACACAATCGGCTAAACAGCGAAGATCAACCGAGGAAGGCCTAAAGCTGGACTTTGAGGTGGAGGACTTCTATGCTCTTGGATCGCCTATTGGCCTGTTTCAGATGCTCAAGGGCCGTACCATCGTTGGGCGACCGCAGAATTCTACTACTGGATTTGTTCCACCAAAGACGCCTGCGACATCGATTGATGACCCGTTCTCACAAGGCGGAGACGAACATGCGTTCGACATCACGACTTCCTCGCCTCTCTGCAAACAGGTCTTCAACATCTTCCATCCGACTGACCCGATCAGTTATCGCATAGAGCCTTTAATATCGCCAGCGATGTCAGCCCTCAAGGCCCAGCCTCTGCCTTATACTAAGAAGGGCATCTTCGGTGCGCCTGCATCACAAGGCTTTACTGGAATTGGCCAGCGCGTTGGCCAGGGTGTGACGGACTTTTGGACTTCTCTAGGATCTGGTAAGTTCAGATCGCCTCTGACTACCTGACATATTCGTTACTATGAGCTATCTGCTGACAGAAAATGTGCTATAGGCATCGCCAGTGGACTCCTCAACCGCAGCCTTGGCATATCAGAAACAGAGATGACAGGCGCAGGCAACAATGCCCAAGGACAGCGCACTTCTCGACCCCTAACTGCCGCGGCGCCCGCCCCAAATAGCGCTGTGAACCTCGTGCCAGGACTCAACGAGCCTACCAGTGCCTTCATCAGCGAAGAGCGTCGCCGCCGCCTCGGACAAGAAACCATTGCCGAGGGCACGGACGGTGAACACCCTCCAACGCTTATCGAAGGTGACATCGAAACCCTCTTTGCTGGTTTCCAAAAGCGAAGAGCAAGTCAACAAAGCGAAGACGGCGAGCGAGATGTAGAGAAAGATCTCGAATGGCAGGAGCTAGAAGAACGAAGTCGCAAACTTAAGAAGGAGGAAGCTAAAGTCCGGGCACTGAACAGTAACGGTCGCGTGGACTACAGTATTC